ACATACAAGGAATTTCTGAGAAAATCGCAAAAACCTTGAGTCAGTTTCATGTCAATGTGGCTCATAAGCCTGTAATAACCGTTGGTTCGATCTTAAAAAGACCTAAAGACATATTTAGCGAAGATCTATCCACTGGAGTTGTTTACAAAATCAAATGCAAAGATTGCGAAAAAGTGTACATTAGACAAACCTTGCGCGCTTTAAAAACAAGAACAGAAGCTACGGGTGATAAGATCTCTTTGTTGACACAACATTGCACACAAAACAGTCACGAATTTGATCTCGATGATGTACAGGTAGTGGACCGCTGTTCGCAGTGGTCGCCAAGATTGTTCCTAGAAGCGTTGCATTCGATGTGTGACCAGAATTCTTTTAATGAGCACATCCAGATTCCAGTCATGTACACTATTTTAGCCAATCCCTATGGGGAATCTCACTCATTTTTAAAGGCCTCAGTTACATCTTGATGCCGTTTTTAACGCATTATTTTTTATGCTGTAGAAGGTTATAGTGTTTTTAAAGGTAAAGTCCAAATCAGCCCCTTTTTGGTCAGTGACAACAAGTATCATGCCTGACTACAATTACAGTAGTTTTAAAGTCACGAGTAGTGTAAATCCTTGATTCCCCGAGGTTTCATGCGATTACTTATTTATTATATGTTAGCTAAAATTACGAACAAGCCTGCATTAATTTGCACCGTAGTGGAAAATAAAAGTGCTCTCAACTAATCACAGTGTAGTAAACTTTCCCGTCATATAATAAACAAACTGGCTTACAAATATAATCACCATACCTGCCTAATAGAGCATCGTTTTACAAAAACTGAGAAAATTGAGAGGAATGCAATGAGAGATGCCTTTGAGGGATCTTGAACTGCGAAAAATCCCTTATATAGCTGATCACAGATATCGATACTCATGCATACTCTAAAGATTTCTTTAGACCTGGGATATAAGGGATACCATGAGTACTGACAACCTGTTTTTTATTTTTTTTATCTTTTAAATGAGTAAGGCTGGTTGAAAAAAAAAAAAAGAGGTAAAACCCTACAATTAGTTGAACTATTTTCGTGTACATGCAGCTGATATTGTTCAACACTCGAGTTTCTGATGATCACTACGCCCAGTTAAATTTTATTTCTATTTACAGGTAAATTTATGTCGGCGACACAGGCTATGACCTCTCTGTTGATAGGAGATGTCTTCACCGCCCACTAATAGCGGCTTCGCCACGAAAAGAAAGAAAACAAAAAAACCCACTGGCACCCAGGCTAGTTGTTTGCTTGAGCTGAAAAACTGTTTTAAGTTTGGCTAAGGAATGTTAACTTGGTTTTTTTCCATTCGTAGTTGGAGGTAAAAATGAAAGTTACAGTAAATGTCTAATTCGTGCGCACTCTCTGATATCTCATTAACGTCCCGCGCCTGCGCGATGTATATTTAATTGTAACTAGGACTGTTCATTCGTTGGTGTCTACATGTTGATATGAATTCATTTTGCTTGTTTAAGGAGGCTCAAAACAGTTTCCAACACTTAGAGTTAGATGGGTCGTTATAACCACTCTTTATCACTTGATGCTACAATCATGGTATCAAAAAACTGCCTAATCATTGGTGAACATGTTGGTATCATTTTCGTGACACAAAAGTTTACCATAGCAACAGTATGACCTCCCAAAAACACCCTTAATTACAGCTTTAGGGGCTTATAATTCAAAAACGGCATGGTGAAATTTTTTTTTATTATCAACTTTTGATANTATGACCTCCCAAAAACACCCTTAATTACAGCTTTAGGGGCTTATAATTCAAAAACGGCATGGTGAAATTTTTTTTTATTATCAACTTTTGATAGGTATGATAAGACACAACTTTTGGCAAAGTTTAAAAAAATTCTGTACATGGGGTTCAGAGCCACCTTAAATTTTTGAAAATTTAAGGTGGCCCTGAACGCCATGTACAGAATTTTTTTAAACTTTGCCAAAAGTTGCGTCTTATCATGCTCATAAAAGTATATACATTAGAATTTTAAGACAAAAAGACATTTATGGACGTAGGAACTAGGCTAAAAAAATATTTTTTTAAAAGCAGTTTTAGAGGCGTTAACGGTGTCTTTCTTACGTACTTCGAGTGGAATCGCATTCCAGAGTTTAACCACACGAACTTGAAAAGCACGCCCCTTCAGTTTCCCTGTTGTAACGTGGACACACCAGAAGATTATACATTCCATGTTCCCAAGTGGGGTTTAGTTACTACAAAGTGTTTCTCTGTAGTACATAAATTGCATCGCTTGGTGAGGTTTGTGTAGACTTTATCTTGGCAACGATTCTTCACGTGATTGTGAAATCTTCCTGCTTATCCTTCAATTGCCACAGGTGTTGGCTGCGCTTTCTGCCATTCTTTCGTTTGAATGACATCTGGCGGTTTTTCCATCAGGTTCCATTTACCGTTCGTTCTTGTAAAGCTGGATCTGTGTAATCTACTTCTTTAAAAAAGAAAATCGATTAATTTCACCGTCACCTCAAGAGACGACCCTGGGACGTGGTACTAAGCCATAGTAGGCAGCCAGCCAGCCAGGGAGCTTGGTGCTGTGAACTAGTGTGAGGGGTAGTGGAGGGGAGGGGGAGAACAGGCAGTCTGTCTTCTGTTTGCCTGTCTTTTTTTTCTATCTGTCTGCTGCTGTTTGTCTGTCTCTCTGTCTGTCCGTCTGGTTTTTCAAAGAAACAAGTTGGCGGTATACATCGGCGTCGCTCCTTTTAAGCGTGACAACTCAACCACACCACAGTCTTTATCCAACCTCTCAGCAGCGATCTCTTAAGACTTTTGCATACATATCAATATATCGAGCATATTTGGGCAAGTTAATTACTTTTGCCTACGCATTGACATTAGGCACTGCGTGTCAATGCTTGTCAATTTGATATTATTTACATAGCAAGGTTTAGCCAGTGTTAGATCCCTTCTTATTTTAAGGTTCTTTTGATAGCCGTGAAACCTGTGGTCGTAAGGGAATTGTAGAGGAGCCGTTAGTCAATATTTCATAATCGGACGAATGTACAGGCGCAGACTATTGGGGTGCAATATTTACTGCGTTGTAAGAAGCTAGAATAATCTAAAGCTCGCGTTACCCTTACAAAGCGGAATGGGTTGGGAGGAAAAGAGATTGGCGTTATCCTCTTGATCAGCTATTCTCATGATAGTTTCTGTGGACCACAGATATTCGACATCACCTGGAATTTCCCAAATACTACCGCATGATTGACTACTTACTAACCAAGCGCGAGGGCCGTACTGGGGAACATTGGCCAGAGGTCGTGGCAATACGGACAGAGTGAAGCGATGTCCGTACAAAAGCGACCGAGTGTCAATATTCCCCAGCAAGGCTCTAGCAAGCAAGTAAGGTTAGAGGCCAGCTTATTACATGGCACTCGAAAAAAAAAAAAAAAAAATACACGGCTTATGATCGTTTCCATGAAAAAGGTCAAAATTTATTGGATGATTGGTATTCCATTACTTCATAGAGTGTCACTAGCCAACAACAAAACAGATAGACCCGTGCTGCTCCCTAAGATACATGTGTACAAAGTTACCGTCCGACGGACTACGCTGGAGTCTTTTGATCTGTTTTTAAAATTAAGCCTAACATTATATGGGAATTGAACGGAATCTTTCTTTTTAGAGTTCTAACAGGTTACAAGCCAACTGGCTGGCATGACATACGCGTTGCTAAGGAAGTGATAACTCCATAAGCTACTGTCTGGGGTATATTAACCATAAAGCGAATCCGGCAACAGTCATGAAAACAACCAAGCCCGCCCTCGTGCTTGATCCACCAGCTACGTATACAATGCTTTGTAGCAATGCAAATATAATTGAAGCGGTCATAGCGCCTCCATCTACCACACATTGGACCAAAATAGCGATTGGGTTTGCGGCTTCTTCCGGAGCTGTGAACCCTCTCAAGGCTAGTCCATATCGAGACGCAGCTACGGTTACAATGACTCCAACTACTGCAAATAACGCATACAAAATGTAGTCTTTGAAACACCATTCATTTCCTTCGCCATTTGTACTCTCGTCTGAAAAAAGAAACGTTGCAACTATATTACACACTATTTTAAGCTCAAAGTATTTTAACGAAACTTTTTCATGTGACAGCAAGGTGATCTCACGAATGTGTCACCAACAGTAGATCTGAACAATATGTATTACTTCTGGACGATGCCCACGAGCCGATTTGATAACTTCGGAGGCTCAAGTAACTGAGGAGAAAGAGTGATTTTGCTATTTTACAGTAGCTATTGTTCTGGAACTAAAATGAAACTTATTGTAATCCATTTCTTGACCACCAAGCTAAAGTTGTCTGCCAATTCACTACCAATTCGCCATCTGCCAATTCGACCGGCTGAAACTGTCTGCCAATTCGATTTAAAATTCAGTAGTGAAAATTAGAACATAAAATCATTTAAATATCTTTACCAATTGCTCAAAAACAATTTCTAGCTGCATTCAAAG